GGATAACCTGAACTCTGAAAATAATGTAACAAAGAAAATCAGACATGAACTGCATGTTAGAGTCAGCCAGTTGAATGGTATGAGGTAAGTTTAATTTACATTACTACTACTACTACTACTACTACTACTACTACTACTACTACTACTACTACTACTACTACTACTACTACTACTACTACTACTACTACTACTACTACTACTACTACTACCAAAATTATTTCATGTTGTATTTTTACATTTAAATGTTACCCTATTCTGATAATTTATCATTTTTATTTATTCATTTTTTAATAAGTTGTTCAATTATTAAGAAACTTTTTTATTTTACTTTATATCATAAGTTTAATTCACCACCGTTTCTCTTCCTGTCATTGTCTATATGGTCTATACATGTACGTGCATAACCAATCGCCCACCCACCTACCCACAATAATGCGACTATCAAGCACACACACATATATGTACTAAAAAGCACAACAGACCAAATGTTAGATCAAGTTACATGTTTGTATAAAACTTAAAACTCATTAGTAAAATATAATATCTCTACTGTTATTAATATTTGTTTCTCCGTTTTTCTATTTAGGGAAATTTTTCCATCTAATTACCAGATATTTTTCAACACTTCTGTTTTTATAGGTAATATAGGTGTGTGTGTGTGTGTGTGAATACGAGCGCGGACATCTATGCTTCCATACAGCATATTTGCTTAGTTAAATATAATAATTCTAAATAAAACTTTAAAAAGTAACAAATACTAAGTTAGAACAATTGTTTTTTACTTTTTTTTCTGGCAAATAAAAATAGAATCTTCTTTCATATTCATATAAATAAATGTAGCTTTATGAAGGGTGGAAATTTTTGTTTAATGTTTCAATGAATTATTATTGTTTGTCCGAATTCATATTGTCTTCTCTTGTTTTGTTACATACATACATACATGTGAATTTGATAACATTATTCCCCTGGACATACATGCACATAAATTTGTATAAATGTAAATTATTAACACAAACGATAGAAAGGATAGATACATAAACAGACCGTAAACAGCTGAGGAACAACTGAAGGTAAACGATTTTGAACAGGTGGTATTATTTGAAACCACTTACTAGAGTTCATGCTCGTAAATTTTGAGTGGAACAGGATTAATTATACATCGCTCGACAGGATTCGTCTCGCTGTATTCCAAATTGATTGAAATCGGAAATAACGATCTTCACATGTAAACGTAGCTGTCTAAAAGTAACTTAAACATTGTGTAGTTTGAAAGTCCCAGGTTCTAGCCATAGGTGATCGGGTACGAAGGGTTCCATAATTGATTAAATTATCCGTTTGGTGCTCTCCTGTTTACAACAGTATCCCAGCTGTCATTGAGTGATAAGAATTACCGTTAAATTAAAATAGTGTTTTTACATAACCACCGAATTTAAAAGCGTACAAGATCTATAAATGTTCAATCAACTTATATGCCGTAAACAGAAAATTTTTGAAATAAATGATTGTTTTATTTGCAAGTTTTAATGATGGAACACACAAATGTATAACTATGTTTCACCAACGAAACCAGTGAAGATCAAGAAAGAAGATTGATAATTTTAATTGCAAAGTTAAAGCACTAATGTAAGCTATATATATGACCACGGAAAATGCAAAAACAAATGGAATGTTAATCTGTTATAAAGTATATTTCACTCGAAACAATCCATAAAAGTTGGATTCATCTTCCGTTTGTTCAAAGTAGATTTTTCAATAAATCAAGTTGTTGGTGAATAATCAGACATGATTACAGAATGGAGATGACTGAACAGATAAAGATGTTTATATAGACTGGATGTTTCGAATGTTGTCAGACAATACTATTTGTTAGGTCTTTCAGTGGGTTTATGTACATTAATTGGGAGGTATATGTAAAAGCATCTACAAAACTGTTTATGACTTTAGAAAACAATTTTTCCAGTGAATATATGCATTTACACCTAAAAATTCAAATTCTTAAATGTTCGATACTTTTTATTCTATGGGAATATTTTCAACTAACTCTACTTCAGTACAGGTTATAATAATTTGGATTGTATTAATTGTTGTCATATGGGATCCAAGATACGTCCTTTCCATGGTAGTGTTAAATGAAGTCTTGTAATAGTTTATAAATTTTCGACATGACTAATTTGAACTTTTTAAATAGAATTCAATTCACTGATAGAGTAACTATTAAATAATCCAAATTTATTCTTTTCACCGTCACCTGGTATTTCGAAAAGTGACATTGGTTTTTGTCATTGGAAGAATTAGGATCACATCTAATGCATTAGTGCAAAAATATTTTAACAGTTGAATTCATAAATCGATCTGAGCTAAAACACCATTGGAAACCTGGGAGCACTGGATGGCCGTTTCTTCCAAGAATGAAACTCCTCAACAGCGCTCATCTACGATCCCACCCGAGGGACTCGTACCCAGGACCTTCGGTCTCTAGACCACTGAGTCGGTATCTATCGGTGTTAATGTCTAACTTCAGTCGATCCATGAACCCTTCATCCATTTTTTAAGGTGGATAACTGTTTCCAACCGACACGGATTAGAGTCCATTGGTTACAACTACCCACTAGAAATTCAGGAAATCAATCTTGAAGCTAGTCATTGGTATGCACATGATTATTATCGGTAGGAGATTTGTGGAGATTGTATTAATTTTAATGGTTATCATAGATCGGCTCATGAATTCAACTACTAAAATTACTGTAATGTCTACAAATCTCCATTCTGACGAAGGTATTTCTCTCTAGGTTAGTTTAAAGTTTACTTATCAGAGAAAGAGTGTGTGATATATAAAGAAAATCGGCTTGAAACTCTGTTTAACCTACATTCCATTCTGGATGGGACTCAATAATATAGTGTACTTGCAATCTGGTGATGAAATGTATACCCATGTTATAGTTAGAAATGTTACCACTGTGCTTATTTAAGCTAAGTAAAAATAGGAGGTTTGTGGAGACTGTAGAAAAGTTGTCTACTTCTTCCTAGTTTCCAATGGTTGCAAGATGATTGGTTAGTGATTTGAATTATGAAAACTCCTCGTAGTCATGACAACTGTGTGATCACTAGAGGCTTATTGTGAGAAATTATTTCCACAGTTTTGGTAGGAAACCACAATTGGCCTACTCGTGGCCTGCTTGAATATCTGGGTTACATGTTCCTGTCTTCTAGATGTTTCAACAAGTTATCTATTTCCTTGTTAATTTTAACACACCATTATGTCCGTGCTAGGTTTGAAGCGGTTAAGAATTCACTTAGTCTGAGAACGGAACAAAGACTTGTGACCAAAAACCAATAAACTAACTATTCTATTGTGTCCCAGCCCCGCTATTTAGGGAGCGAATTCGAAATCGACACGGGGAAGTATATTCCGCAAAAATCCAGAAGCACGAGCGATAACAACAGACACAAATCAAAACGTATAAATATAACACAAAACCATCCTTGGGAAGCGTCACAAAATCGCATACTAAAAGACACAAGGGACCAATAGCGTTTATGATTCTCCCAAGTTGGAAATACGACGTGAAGGTGAAAAGGGCGCTTTTGGCACGAAAACGAAGAAATTCGAATTTTCTAAATAAAACTACAAAATTAGGTCCTTTTCCAAGTGAGTACTGGGGATCTAACGTCCCCTAACCGCATAAACTGTTCAGGTGCGTTTATGAAAAGTTTACGACATTTCGCTGTACAAGTTAGAAAAATGTACAATCGGAGACATCGTGGTGACTGGCAATATGCATTGAAAAGAATGAATATTATTCAGACGGCGACTTCTGAAGTGCTGAAATCGAACCGGTGATCACTCAATATTTATCGTCAATATCGATCAAGAAATAAGAAACGGAAATTTGCTGAAATACTTTGTGCTGAGTATTCTATATTGTACCAAAAATATAACATTGAATAAACCTAATAATAATTGGTGGTCTATTTATGCCGAATATGAAATAAATATTGCCAATCGTAATCAATGATAGTTACATATTATTGCAAATTAATTGAAGTTGGACATACAAGTCACTGGATACTAAATCAGAGGTCTAAAATTTAAAAATGAGGGTGTTGTCTTGTGTTTCATAGTTTTTAGTAGTTGTTTGACTAAGGTCACTTCATGATATCTGCTACGGTACTGAAGGGCTGTTTAATAACTCAGTAGTAGTAACCATTGTCATGTTTGCCTAGCCCTCTTAGTACTAACAGATTTATATTGATCAAATCTCACTGCATTCACTGGTGTAATAAAATCAACTTGACATGGTCAGTATGTTTATCTGCTCAGATAGATAAAGGGAATCGAAATAAAGTCTTGATAGTAGATTAAAACAAATTCACACAGCATGTTTGTGTCAAGATGTTATTGTTTCAATTGAGGTTTATATCATTCTGACCACTGATCAAAAGTTGATTCATTTATCGTATTTCGCAGTTGCACTTATATTTAGTCACTATGTATTTAAGTACCGTAAGTTAAAATGTAACACACGTCAGATGTGTTTAGTTACTTCGATTATGAACCACATTGTAATTTGATTGATAGAATCTTATCAACATTAAGGACTAAATATAGATGACATAACTTATTTTACTATTCAGTATGCTGTCGATTACTTCCAGTCACTTTACAATGTTCAAGTAATATATTAAATAATCGTTGGAAAACTTCCATCCTAGTTAAAAACACAGATAAACGAAGAACATATATATATATATATATATATATATATATATATATATATATATATATATATATTTATATTTATATATATATAAAGTAATATCTACGATGTATCACCCAAGTTTTTATTTTTTTATTTTCCAGGTGAACTATTTTCCTACTAATGAAATCGGCAAGGCAACGAAACTTACCCTATGAAATGCTATCGTATATTTACAACTAATTCTTCCAGAAAAGCTATATTAAACAAGCAAACAATTTTTGTACTAAAGGTTTCATAAAATTATTTTACTGTTGTAACTGATATTATCCATAATACAAATGATGGGATGAAAAAACGAGTATTTAACCTGTGAAATATGTAAATTACAAGAGCTAGGTCAAATTTGTCTTGGTTTAAACAAATAATAATTACTTCTGGAAAATACACGATAGGGTTTATCTTAATATATTTTATCTCTCAAATAGATACATATCAATATAACTTACAGTATGATGATAAAGAATGCCGAAAATATGCAATCGTTAGTGTATAAAAATAAATCATTCTGTATGGACAGAAACTGATTTTACGAAGAGTAGGTTTGTATGTGTTGGAATCCTGCCAGAATATATAATTTTTGTCAATCTCTTTCTATCTCTCTTTATATATATGTATATATATAATTAGGTGACCAAGATTATCTGCACGAAAACTGGGATAAACTAGTTTAATGAAATCTGGATACCTACTTACAGAAATAATACAGTCAGTAAAATTATTTTTTACATGTAAATCAAACATATCAGTAGTTTTCTTCAACGTTGATTGAATGATATACAGCTCAATTGATTGTTAAATAGTTATTTGTGTTGATGAAAAAATAGAAGATTTACAGTCTCTCGTTATCTTTTTCATTGTCAGACCATTGTTCAAGCTAATCTGAATAATTCTTTTGTCAACACGATTTTAACGAATCATGAAACGATGAGACAGTAGATATCTTTGAATTTCAAGGACTCTTAGGGATACTGATAAAAACTAAGATGGAACAAACTGTTTGTCACAAGCGGAGAATATTATGAAGGGCGCAAGGTCTATTTATCTTAAATTATGTGTAATAAAATTTTCATAATCTCATTTCTCATAATAATTAGAGAAAGGGGCTTACAAATATGATAAAATAGGAACTATTCTCTTAGTTGTAATAATTGATGACGGATATCTAAGACGATGTTTCTTTCCCAATTTATAACAAATCTTCAAAAGTAGTGTATATGTTGTTTTATTGCCGAAACAAAAGAATATAAAACTTTTTCTAAATTGCAATTTACACCATTGATTTCTCTTCTCTTCAATATTATTCTTAGACAAGCACTACTTGATGTTAGTTCAAATCATCGAGAAACAAATCGATCCTTTTAAGAGTAAAATGGTGTTATGCTGACGAGCATTATCATATAAAGACGTAAACCCAATATTGTCTACCAACTTTTACCGACCATATAACACTAAACGAACTATGTTGTCGTACTAAGCTATTTAGATTAACAACTACACTGGAAAACTGACTCATAGAAATACTGATTGTCACTTCCAAGTAGATAAAGTGGCAGAAGAAGAGTTGTTCATTTTGAAGATTTATGTCACTGACTAATTTTAGTTCGGCAACTGGTTAAAACCAGAAAACAGTGGATAGCTATTTCATCCTAGTATGGGACTCCACAGCAAATTGCATCCAAGACTCCATTATGAGCGAAGTTCAGGATAAAAAGAGCTGTAGAGTGTTTCCTGGTTTGTAATTGTTGTCTAACTTCAATCAGTCCATTATATGGAACTATGAATTCAAAAATCTCTGCGACTCTAAAACAACAAGATATGAAAGTATCACATCCTATTTTTCCATTTCTAACATGAACATCAAGTTGTAATAACACTCACAACAGACTAATAACAAAAATTGACAGTTTAAAACTACAGGGTCAAATTATCACTGTATTCAGTTATCTAGTAGTTTCAATATCGTCCTCCCATCGCAAAAATACCTATGATTTATGATAATATAATTTAAATAAGCCACGAGTATTTTAGAAAATGTAGAGAACCAACGAATAACACAAATTATCAAAATCAGAAGCATATAATTGAAACATGCAAAATAAAGACTGGACTAAACACCGAAGAAACATGAGGGAAGCGATCTGAGCAATAACAGTAACAAATGAAAGCGAGGAAAATACAGAGAAATAAACACTTTCTCTCTCATGCACACTCTTTCACTCCTCGTCAAAGCCCGCCAACTCGAACGGCAGATTGTAAGTTCAGAAATAAAAACTAAAAAAATTAGAAAGAGAAGAACGAACACATTTTTGTTATGAAAACACAAATAACACAGGTGATCAAAAACAAAGATGTACAATTTGTGTAGTTTTCACTAACTAATCAAAGAAAGGAAACCAAAATCAAGGATAAACGTAAGAAGAAGAAAGGTGAGATTATTTTCTGTTTCCCCCTTAGTTTTTTTACTTCGTGTGCATTTTACTATCCACTAATTATTTTCTAATTTCTCAGCTTTTTATTTTCTCATCATTTAGATAATTGTGTCATTCGAACATTCGTTTTCTCTAGAAAAAATTCTTTTTTTTCACACAAAAGTTCATTTCCGTTTTTCCTGTCTGTGTGTATTTGTGTCTACAAGGTTTGGTTACAACTATATAATTAACTGAAGTCATCTTATTTCATTTTTTCTGATAAGCATGCTTGTACATGTGTAGTAAATACATACTTTATGGTGAATTGCTTGTACTATTTTCAACTTATGATTGACGTGAATAATGTTACAATGTATAAAAGCACTACCTACAAACACGCGCATGTACATAAACAAACACAAACTCATTGGACCGATGTCTATGTAGTAAACTTCAAGAGTTGTCTTTTGTAAAAAATAAAAATAAAATTGAAGTAAACGACTGTGTTAGCTAGAAGGGAAAGTCATAACAATAACGAAACACAGTGGAATAATTTCAAACAGCTGTTATTCTTCTGTAAATTCTTTTTTTCATGACTTAAAATAATTGGAATTCAACGTAAAAATGTTGAAAAATGTTGTAAAACTCACAAAAACTAATTTTTCCCTGAGTATACCTAACTAACGAAATTAATACATAATTTCATGATTTGAAAACGAGATTTTATCATAAATTGTTGCAAACTGGTGTCGAGGTTGTTGAATACCGACAAATGTTTTTTTCTAGTTTTGAACGTCGTCGACGACTTTCAGTCTGTGTTGTTTTCTCTGAGTTGAGTGATTTAATAGCAATGGTTTCACTGTCTTTCTGGACAACATTATTCGCTTCCTGTAGAAGTGAACAAGCACTGAGTCACCCAGTTCTGATGGTCTTCTTTGTATAAAAGTTATTTTAAGACGTTCAGTCAACTTTATTTGTCCTTGTATTCCTGTCGATCGTTTTTATTCAGTTGTTGTCTGGTCACGTGATTAATTGTGCATTTTTATAGGTAGAAAATAGGGTTTGTGTTCATATGTCTATTGATTGCGGATCGACAGATAATCAACCGTACAATTTTAAACGGTTCATGTTGGGTTAACAACAAAACTATCTGGTCTTCGGATAAGTGAGATGATTCTGCGTTGCTTAATAATTATTCTCAGATGATATACATTTAGTGTATTGTAAAGTATTTGTATTTTAAAGCCAACTTATTAGAGAAAAAAACAAATTTAGAGACTGAAAAATAACGTTTAGGATAAAAACCAGATGAAAAAAGCAATGTGTCTCATGTTTATTATTCAAAGAATATTTTTACACAATAAATTTAACAACTCATGTACTACCAGTACGAATGCTTGCATAATACAAAGGTCCATGTAAGCGCACAGTATATAAAAGTCAATCAACACAGACGTAGATAATAAGGAACTGAATGCTTAATTTTTGTGGAAAAATAAATCTACAAACAGATATATATATATATATATATATATATATATATATATATATATATATATATATATATATATATATATATATATATATATATATATATATATATATATATAGATATATAAATTATCGTAAAAGCGAAAACATAAATTTTCCATTAACGATACACTATTTCTCGATTTATAATCATAATCTGCTTAAAATAATTATTAATGTTTTATTATGAAAAGTAATAATTTTTAGTGAATTATTTTTTTAATGAGTTAGGATAAGGTAGGATATGTAGGGTAATACTGTACCGTATCCTTTTGTTTTAAAATGGTTGGCATTAAGGAGGAAAAATTGATACATAAAAGTGTAGTTTAATGGGTCATGAATCATAATTGTCTTTTATTTTCTTCCGCTATTTTCTTTGTGGATGAATACTTTCTATTTTTTCGTGGGTAAGACTAAACTTAGCTATAAGGTAATGTTTAATGATTATTGTGGATACTAATTAATTTACTTTCACTTTTCTACACTCATTGTCTATGATTCACCAGTCTAATGGAGTTGTTTTATCATTTTAATGAACAGCTATGTCTTAGGTGGATTAACGGTCCTTCAGTCACTACTTTAAATTTCATTCGTACGCTTATATTCTTTTGATTCAGGTATCTTGGTTGAGTAATATACGAATAGTTATCGCCCATTGTTCAATTTAAAATTCAATCAGCTAGATATTATTGCATTTTAACTGTGTTTTGTAAATATTATTATTAAAGACGAGAAGGTCTCATTTGAAGTACTTTTCACTACCATAATTGTTCATGGTGTGATATAGAAAAGGTATTTATTTTTAAAAAATGTTACTCGCTTGGTACACAATCTATAAGTGTTAAAAATGATCCGAGATATCATAATATGTTGTTTAGTTTAGATAAGAGGATTTATTAAATTACTGAACAATTAAACACGAACCACTTGGTAAAACAAAGGGAAAGTATTAAAATTAATTAAAATTGTATTACAATTTGATTTTCATAGATATTCTTGATATTCTAACTGACAAAATAGTGAGTTTATAAATACTCAGTATAATCAAGTATTTATTTTGCAAAATTATTGAAATGTGATTAGCAGTAGAACCTGATAAGTATATTTTGTTCTATTTGAGATGACGATGATGATAATGATGACAATGGGTTTTATGGATATTTTAGTAATTTTACTTGTTCAGATAATGAGTCAATTGAGGCTAAAACAGCATGGGAAACCTGAAAGCACTGAAAGGCCTTCTCCTCCAATTACGCGACAACTAAGAACTGCGCATAAACCATACCGCCTCGAGAGAATATAAACCAAGATTCATCAATCTCGCTCACCAAATTTTATTATCTACATCAATGAGCCGGCTTCCAAACGACAGAATGTACGAATAGAGTTATTCCAAGAAATCCAGCAACACATCCAACATTGTATTCAGTCAGATAATATCTCACAAAAGAAAAGGTTGAAATACATGGGTAACCTATACTCACTAGAACACCAGGAAATATCTCTTCAAGTCAGACAGCAGTGGGGATACGAAAACGATGATGATGATGATGATGATGATGATGATGATGATGATGATGATGATGATGATGATGATGATGATGATGATGATGATGATGATGATGATGATGATGATGATGATGATGATGATGATGATGATGATGATGATGATGATGATGATGATGATGATGATGATGATGATGATGATGATGATGATGATGATGATGATGATGATGATGATGATGATGATGATGATGATGATGATGATGATGATGATGATGATGATGATGATGATGATGATGATGATGATGATGATGATGATGATGATGATGATGATGATGATGATGATGATGATGATGATGATGATGATGATGATGATGATGATGATGATGATGATGATGATGATGATGATGATGATGATGATGATGATGATGATGATGATGATGATGATGATGATGATGATGATGATGATGATGATGATGATGATGATGATGATGATGATGATGATGATGATGATGATGATGATGATGATGATGATGATGATGATGATGATGATGATGATGATGATGATGATGATGATGATGATGATGATGATGATGATGATGATGATGATGATGATGATGATGATGATGATGATGATGATGATGATGATGATGATGATGATGATGATGATGATGATGATGATGATGATGATGATGATGATGATGATGATGATGATGATGATGATGATGATGATGATGATGATGATGATGATGATGATGATGATGATGATGATGATGATGATGATGATGATGATGATGATGATGATGATGATGATGATGATGATGATGATGATGATGATGATGATGATGATGATGATGATGATGATGATGATGATGATGATGATGATGATGATGATGATGATGATGATGATGATGATGATGATGATGATGATGATGATGATGATGATGATGATGATGATGATGATGATGATGATGATGATGATGATGATGATGATGATGATGATGATGATGATGATGATGATGATGATGATGATGATGATGATGATGATGATGATGATGATGATGATGATGATGATGATGATGATGATGATGATGATGATGATGATGATGATGATGATGATGATGATGATGATGATGATGATGATGATGATGATGATGATGATGATGATGATGATGATGATGATGATGATGATGATGATGATGATGATGATGATGATGATGATGATGATGATGATGATGATGATGATGATGATGATGATGATGATGATGATGATGATGATGATGATGATGATGATGATGATGATGATGATGATGATGATGATGATGATGATGATGATGATGATGATGATGATGATGATGATGATGATGATGATGATGATGATGATGATGATGATGATGATGATGATGATGATGATGATGATGATGATGATGATGATGATGATGATGATGATGATGATGATGATGATGATGATGATGATGATGATGATGATGATGATGATGATGATGATGATGATGATGATGATGATGATGATGATGATGATGATGATGATGATGATGATGATGATGATGATGATGATGATGATGATGATGATGATGATGATGATGATGATGATGATGATGATGATGATGATGATGATGATGATGATGATGATGATGATGATGATGATGATGATGATGATGATGATGATGATGATGATGATGATGATGATGATGATGATGATGATGATGATGATGATGATGATGATGATGATGATGATGATGATGATGATGATGATGATGATGATGATGATGATGATGATGACTGAAATAATTTGTGATATGTTTTTCCAGTGAATGTTTGGAATCTCTGGGCGCTGAACTTTCCTCAGTTCTCGCGCTATATGGCTTATCGGCCGTCCAATTCTTCCAGTTTTTCCATGCTCATCTTGCTTTCATTGACTCAAGTTCTCAACTTATTAAATTATTTGAGTCTCCATAAATTAGATTGTCGTCATCATTATCATGACGATTATCTATATCTTGTGCTCAGTAGTGACTGTCTTCAAGAGATGTTTCCCTGTGTTCTATTGAGAAGTGTTGACCAGTGGAATTCAATCTTTTCTTTTGTGATATATTAACTGACTGAAGACAATGTTGGATGTGTCGCTAAATTTCGTGGATTAACTGAATTTGAACATTAACACGGTTGGTCGCCGGCTCGATGGTGTTTGTATTAGATGCTATATTTGTAATCGATTACGTGTTCACCTGGACTGCGAACAAATCGAAGACTTGTCACTAAAGGCCAATAAAGTAACTATTCTTTTTCGTCTCAGACTCACTTACAAGAGAGATCATTCGAATTCCGAGTGAAGAATTATATTTCACAGAAAAGTCAGATGCCCGCGCGATGACAAGTGACATAAACAAGAAATTCGAATTTTATAAATGGAATTACGAAATAAGCCCCTTTTTCAAGTGAGTACTAGGGATCTAACGTCCTCAGTGCACCTCTTTTTTAATAATGTACTTTCCTGGGGTCGACTTGCATCTTGACTTTTGTTCGCCGCTCTCAGAGAGGCCTCCTTGTGGAACGGAGATCAGCATGTTTTTGAGCTTTCTGTTTTGGTGGGGCTGCCGGTAAGTTAAAGGTATCAAGCAGAATGTCAAGTTGAGGATTTACTCCTGTCGGTGGGCGGTCTGGAGCTAACCGTTTGCGTATCTGATTCTGATGGCCTGACCATCTGTTGCCTCCTACCTCTACTTCGTACATGACACGGCCTACTCTTCTGACCACTCACGCTTCTGTCCATGGACCATGGGTTGCTCTGTAGTCATGGGCAAACACAGAACATCCCACTTCGTACGTGGACTGCTTTTCAGACTTTGTCTGTACTGGTGTTGATGCATTAGGCTGTGAATCGTTTTCAGTCTTCTTCCCATCAGGATTTCTGCTGGGGACGTTTGCTTCAACACCGTCTCATTCGGTGTTGTCCGGTAAACGAACAAGAAATTTTGTAATGTGTCGGTTGGTGTCCCCTCCTCTTTCGATTTAACCAATGCTCTTCTAAACGTACCCAAAAATCTTTCCGCCTGCCCATTCGACTGCGGGGGGGTTGGTGGCGAACGCAAGTGCTTGATGGCTAGCCATTGACAGAAAGCTTGTGACTGGCTAGAGGTAAATTGCGATCCGCTGTCAGATACAATCACATCTGGCATGCCATTTCGGGAGAAAACTTCACTGAGGAGTTGTATTGTTGTAATTGTCGTGAGCGGCATTACATGACTAATTTCTGGCCATTTCGAAAAGGCATCGACCACAACTAAATACATAGTCCCATTAATTAGGCTCGCGAAGTCGACGTTTATCCTGGACCAAGGATGATCAGGTTGTGGCCATGAAACTGGCGGGACTTTGGCATCCACCTTCGCCGCTTACTGACATCGAATGCATTTTCCAACCAACCCAGTGATATGTTGATCCATTAGGGGCCAGTATGGATAACTCCTGTCTATGGATTTCATTCTTCTAACCCCCGGATGACCAAGGTGGAACTGTTTCAGCACGTTTGCGCGAAAGGTCTCTGGCACAACCACTTTTTCTCCAAGCACCAAGCAGCCGTTTATAATGCACAGTGAATCGCGCATCTGATACAGCTGTTTCATGTCACCATCAAACTTCTTACACGGCCAACCATTAGTGACATAACTCATCACCATCTTGGTGATGTGGTCATTCCTGGAAGCGTTTCGTATGTCTGTTGCAGACACCGGAAATGCCCGTATTGCGGTTGTCATACAATATTCCGCGTGGCCTTCCGCTGACAGAGATGCGATTACCATGTTTTCCCCAACCGTCAATTGACCATTAATGAGTCGTGAAAAAGCATCTGCCTGACCGAGTTGTTGAGTGCGTCGGTATCGCATCTCGAAATCATGCCCCAAGAGTACCAAGGCCCATCGCTGAAGACGATTTGCAGAATGGGCTGGAATGCCAGATTTCGACCCGAGTATTGCGAGCAGGGGCTTGTGATCTGTGAGAAGCGTAAATCCCCTACCCTACAGAAACTTGTGGAAACGTCGAACAGCAAATACAAGTGCAAGGGCCTCTTTTTTATCTGACTGCCTTTCTTTTCTGCAGGGATTAGTGTACGGAATGCATGCATAACAGCTTTTTCTGACGCATCTGGAAACTGATGTGAAATAACAGCACCTAGGCCATACGCTGAGGCGTCTGTAGCTACGATGATCGGCATAGATGGATCGTAGTGCGTTAACAATTCCGAGCTAATTATGAACTTGAGTTTACAAAACACCGCATCACACTCTCTAGTCCAGTTTCATGTGCTGCTCTTCTTCAGCAGACGATTTAATGGGGCGCGAATATCATGCATCGAAGGAAAGACCGCTGCGTAATATGTAACAAGTTCCCATGAAGGAACGTAGTGCCGAGACATTGGTGGGAGCGGGCATCAGTTTGATAGTTCGAATGTTCTCAGGATCCAGTCTGCGTCCGTCAGCGTCAAAAATGGACCCCAAATAATTTACTGACTGCAATAAAAACTGGCATTTCTCTGGGTGTAACCGGAACCCATTGCCACTGATGCTTTGCAGCAGCAATGTTGTGCTGATGATGTCACAGGTATTCAGTGTTTGACAACGCTTTTACCAGTAACACCCTCTAATATATTTCGTTCCCACCCAGAGAAATCAAAAGACAGAGTCGAGGAGATCGGAAGAGTATATTTGGCGATGACCAATATATCGGGATTCTCTGATCTAATCTGGCTAGCGATTGTGGTTGATGTTGAGCACAGCGTTACCACACGTGATCTGGTGCGGATGCATGACCGAGCGCCTTCAGCTAGATGAGTTCACTAAAACATATGGTCAGCATCCAATGTCGAAAACTTAGGGCTATTTATTTTGGGGATTCATTTACCGCTACAGATCACTCCCCCCCTAGTGGGGCAGTGACGACCTTAAGACGTGGCCAGCCAGAAGTTTAAACCCAACGAGTTTGCCGTTGGTAAACACTCTTCCGATAGCTTACTAAATTTAGCAGCGTCTGGTCGTCTTTCCTTACTATATGGGACGGAGGTACAACATAGTAAAAAAAGAAAATGTACAATGAAAATTTCGGATCCTCATAAACGTCATCGTTCTTTTTCCAGCCGTCCTGGAAAAGAAAAAAGAAAATGTAAGTGCATGTCGAAAATACACTCGTATGTGCGTAAAAACACAATGTCGGCGGAAAAAAAAAGGAAAATAAACTCATGAACACGTAATAGCGTTAAAAAAAATTGTTTTTTTTGTTTGTTTTTTTTTAAATAGAAATAAAAATATATAAGCATATTAAAATTTTTTTAAAAAAAAATAATATAAAATGTCGAGAAGTGCCTTACGTGCAATAGTCGTTTAAACGTTCTGGAAATCTCACCCTTCTTCCAGAACGCGTCGTTTTAAGTTTATTTTCGGATACTGTCGAAGTATCATCGTGTGTTTGGTTGTCGGATGAGGTATTATAAGTGTCGGAGTCGTGTCGTTCGATTGTACCGAAGGAAAATCCACGTAGATAGGATTTCCTTCTAAATACGCTGCTTTTAAGCGATCGATGCTGATGCTATCGTTGGTTCCGTTCTTATCGACTATATAGTACTTAGATTCACGTTGAAGAACTTTGAAGGGTCCTTCGTATGCTGATTCGAATGGTCGTCGATGCGAGTCTCGACGAACGAAAACGTGTGTACTATATCGTAAGTCAGGTTGAACGAAAACATCAGTTGATTGAGGTCGAGTGGAAGCAGGTTTAACTGAACGCATTGAGTTTGTAAGCCTGTTCGTGTAGGAGGTTAGATCCATGTTCATTGAAAAGGATGAAGGATCCACGAATTCTCCTGGAAGTTGAAGTGTTGTTCCATAAACGGTTTGAGCCGCAGTGTATCCAATGTCAGCTTTCACTGCATTGCGGATACCTAGTAAGACGAGTGGAAGAGCGTCAGTCCACTGTGAAACGTTTGCAGCTGATAGCGAAGCTTTCAGTTGTCGGTGAAAACGTTCTACCAACCCGTTTGCTTGGGGATGGTAGGCGGTCGTTCGGAATCGAGTGATTCCTAAAAGTGTGGTCAGACGACGGAAAAGATCGGATTCAAACTGACGTCCGCGGTCTGTAGTGATGGTTGAAGGGCAGCCGAAGTTTGCTACCCATCGTTCGACGAAGGTGCGGGCCACTGTTTCAGAAGTGATGTCCTTGATAGGTACTGCTTCTGGCCATCGAGTGAAACGGTCTACGCAGGTTAAGAGGTAAGAGTATCCATTTGAATCTGGTAGAGGTCCTACCAAATCCAAATGAACATGGTCGAAACCAGCATCGGGAGTTTTAAACGAGCCTAAGGGACATTTATTGTGTCTGATGACCTTAGATGTTTGGCAGCTTACACAGGAGCGTGCCCACTCCCTCACGTATTTATTCATTCCAGGCCAGCAAAACCGTTCTGCTATAAGCTTGATGGTTGCACGAACACCTGGATGCGAAAGTTTGTGCAATGTGTTGAAGACATTGTGTCGATAATGTTTCGGCACGATTGGGCGATCCCTACCTGTAGATGTGTTACAAAGTAAGGTTTCCTTACCTGTTCCCATCTGTTTGATGCGTAGTTTTAGTGTTGTGGACGATAACTCGTGCTGAAGATCACTGTCTTCTTTTTGAAGCTCGGCGAGTTTAAGAAGGTCGATTCTTTGGAAACTGTTCAAGAAAGTTATGCGAGATAAGGCGTCTGCAACTACATTGTTTGCTCCAGAGATGTGTTGAATGTCTGAAGTAAACTGCGAAATGTAGTCCAGTTGTCGAGACTCACGAGGAGAGTATTTGTCAGAAGGAGAGCTTAACGAGAAAGTGAGCGGTTTATGGTCCGTGAAAAGAGTGAATTCACGACCTTCGATGTAGTGTTGAAAATGCCGTACAGCACAATACATAGCTAGGAGTTCCCTACCGAATGTGCTGTACCTCGATTCGGTGTCTAGCAACCGTCTAGAGAAAAATGGCAAGGGTTGCCAGGAGTTGTTAACACATTGTTGTTAGACTCCTCTGATTGCCGAGTCGGATGCGTCTACTGCGATACTAATGGGTGCTTCGGTGTCCCGATGTGCGAGCATTGTTGCTTTAGCAATCAGTTCCTTAACTGTGGAGAATGCTTTTCGTGCGTTGTCGTCCAAATTAATGGATTTCGCATTTCCACGAAGTTGGTCGGTCAGAGGTTTTATAAGTAATGCGCATTTCCGTATGAAACGTCTATAGAAACTTACCAGGCCGTTAAACGTGCGTAATTGCTTGACGGTGGTCGGTTCTGGGTAATCCA